AAATGAATGTAGAATTGAAGCAGTTGTTGAATGTAATATGGGTAAAGAATTAGCTAGAGATGTCATCTATAAGTCATCGCGTCTGAGAATAAATATGCCCGTCAAGGCTTTCAAAGCAAATTTAACCTAAAATTCTATGTTGATGGTTTTTTTAACCTAGATCCCAGATATTGAGAGAGGTTTTTTCAATATTTTCTAGCCAAGAGGGACTCAATATTGCAATACTAGCTAGCAGTTTATTTGGTGAGAAAGATCAACTGATGAAGGAAAAAGATAAGTTTCATGGATAATAAAACAGCCCTGCTGATGAATCACTTGTTTTGCCTATTGGACAATATGGATGGAGATAGTAGCAGGAATGAAATGAAGTTGCTTCAACTTCAATTGGCATACAATAGCCAATACCAGCCTTAATTTGTTCAGCATCATCTACATTTACCTTAGTAAGGAACTAAGGATATTCGGTGGAGGTGGTATCCAATAATGCTTGACCAGATTAGTTAAATGTCTTAGCAGGTCTATTGCCATGACTTACTTCATCAGTTGAGACATTTGAATCTCTGCTGCATGCAAAACGTGTACTGGGTCTGGTGAAACATGTTAAAATTAATTATAGATGAACATGTTCCTGCTCTCCATAGGTGCCAAAGATACAAAGATGCTTGGCGCAGGATTGATCTAATTCAGAATCCAGTTGCAGCTGGCTCCCCCTATCTAGCCGTCGCCAGTGATTTATCCAATCACACGAAGTTTCTTTCAGGGACTTCCTGGGTTCTAAGTCCAAATTAAAGTTGGACCCAAACCACACAGCCTTTGCAAGTTATAATTGGAATAATAAGTGTTCATCAAGAGATTCGGCATGGCCTTCACAGAGTTGGTACTCACATATTTGAGGTATCTTTGTAGCCATATATTTGTCAATAAGGACAACTTTGGTAATATAAACCTTACTCCTTTTTATTCAATTCAGATAGAGAATAAAGACAGGAAAAAGAAAAACAGAAATGCAAGGACTACGGCAAGGAACTTTTACGACCCTCTTATTGTATACATTATTTCTTTTAAAAATGCTGTGGACTAACATAGTACATAAGTAGGTGAGGAAAAAGACGTCATATTATTGTATACATTATTTCTTTTCGAAATGGAAAATTTCAGGGCAATAGGATCGATCTTCAACTCCTTAGTTGAGATGCATTTTCAAGGGTGAAAATTGTAATGCTAAACATATACCAAATAATGTTTTAAGATGCATTAATTATCATCATTTAGCTATTTCATTAGTCCATTCTTGACCTCTCCAAGCTAAACCATACACTAATAGGAGATAAGGACAAGCTTGCTTTTATTGATTCAATTTAGACACACACTAATAGCTTTAAATAGGTTCAGCTTTTTTTTTTTTTTTTTGTTAGAAAGGAAAATTTTATTAATGAAAAACTAGGGGGGGGGGGAGGACTAAACCTTACCCCTCAAAGAATACAATACAAGAGAGAACATGCTCCTAAGAAACTTAATTAAATGAGTTCAACTCAAAAGATTCCGTTTTAGATAATAAAAAAGCATATGTGGACACTAAATTTTAAGCAAGCTTGATACATATAGAGTTAACTCAAAATTAAATAATGTGGTCAAAGTCTCAAATATTAGAGACAAAAAGGTTTTCACATCCTACCTACTTTAGAAGTAGAACTCCGAAGATGTAAAGGTTGATGGATTTAAGTTGATTTCATTAATGTTCAAAAGAAAAATGGAAATAATTAACTCTAAACTGGCCAATCAGGTCTATCAACTAGATAACTGGGCTGAAAATTAAATTGATCCATAAATGCGATGTTCTCGAATCATAGGCCTCCATGTAACCTAAAATGGAGATGGGTGCACCATCAATCGTTATCATTTATCTGAGGGCTTTAGCAACATGGGTGAGAAGGCATGGGCCATGTTGCAACATATGAGCCATATAAATGAATAGCCAGCTGATGGAAACCCTCGTCTCTTGGTCACACAGAGTACAGTAATACAAGGAAATGTGGGCCAAAAACCAACAACACAAGGGACAATCAGTTTTGGTTGGGATTTACGTGTTCCAACTAGGGTTTTAAAAATTTAATGCAAACTCAAACATTAAAAGTTTGATTGATTAAGGTTGATTTCTTGGCAATATGACCCAATGAAGACCCAATTTTATTGGTCAATGCTCTTCTGGTATCATACCGTGTATGTGTATATAATGGTATGGTGATGTATATAAGTATATTTCTGTGGGAGGAGAGTGGATGATAGTAAGGGTAAGGGATGGTTTATTGTAAAATGTGGTCTATCATAGGATGCCAATGCACCATTTTTATATGTAAAGTATGTGTTTACATGAATGTGGTAGTATATATGTATATTATGTTTGTGCATTTGGTAGAACAGGTTCCAATCCAAAGCCAACCTGACAAACCTGATCAAGCCTGTCAATGGGTCGGTTTTGAATTGGACGCAACCATATTTGATTGAAACCTTAAATCCAAATCTAATCCAAAATCCAAAATATTGGACACATGTACATACATGAGCCTCGATGTGCTTTTCACACTGACTCCAAAGTATGTCCCAGCTGTACATGGGGAACATTTTCCATACTTGTATGTTGTTCAAGGGAGACGTTCCCAAATCCCATGCTGGGATGTGGTTGTAAGGAGTAAATCCCAATTTTATATATATACATATATATATATATATATATATATATATATATATTGACAACCCTAAATCCAATTCAGTGAAAACTTTGTTTTAAAGGTTAGCTAGGGTTGAGATTTTGACATGATGAATTGTTTTAAAATTGGGGTGAAAGTGAACCAAGTCATCAGCCAGAGTTGTTGTAAAATTGACATTTAAAAAGCTGACTTGGTGAAACATTTTGGTAGGTGTTTGATGTGAGTTGAAATCAGCCCCTCACAAGATAGTTTCCCACAACGTCCTACAGCACATCTTTGCCACGTATTGGAAACATCTTGTCATGATATCTAATCATTTCTGATATTATCATGGGAAGATGCTTTTAATACACAGCGAGAAAATGGTAACTAGGGTTGGTGAATGCGTGAATGGTGATGCGGGAAACCATCTCATTACAAATAAAGCCAAAATTGAAAGCAAATATATGAAAAAGTAAAATAAAAGAACTCACACTTGACATGATTAGAAGAAATTTGGAGCTGCTTTCTCCTACTTTTTTTTTAGGTTTTCTTTTTTTTGTTTTTCTCTGGGGGTGGGACCTTGGGACAAGTGAGTCAGTGGGGGGACCGGAAACGGCAAATGATGCCATGATGTGTGATGATGAGAGAACCGCCGACGGAAGTTGTTAATTGTTACATTTTGTCAACTATATATCAAGTGAATTAGGTTTGGGTTTCCTTCCTCCGATTCCATCCAATGGGATTGGGATTGGGTATTTGGGATGGAGCATGGTATTGGTACTTGGTTCATGAATGAATCGAAACCTTTGGATTTGATATGGTGGTAGGTTACGTGGACGYCTCAATCCTAGGTCACACAATTTCTTTCTCTTTCTTTACATATAAAAATAATTTTTTAATAAAAAAAGATTGAACCAAAGCAAGAATGGCAACAATATTGGTATCGAACCGGCCAGAAATCAAACACGTACGTCATGTTTGGGTGATGAAGACGTCATGAAGGGAAGGTAGCTTTGAAGCTTCCACCTCTAATATMGGAGTGAAACCACTCATCCCTCCAACTCCAAACGGACCAAACCTCTCTTTCTCCACCTACCAAGCATTGGATTTCATTCTTACCAAATCGAACTCTGCCGTATCACTATACTTACACGTGTAGTTGCATACACTACCACCACCCACTCAGCCACTCTTCTCAGCACGTGCTTACGTCTCAGCTACCTGGAATATAAGAGGTCCATGACGAATATGCCCATCTAACGATCCACCATCTCAACACTGCACGACTCTTCTATTACTTCCTACTTTCTTTTCTCTCTACTTCTTCCATTGTATTTGCATTTATACTCTTTCCAAACTAAGCCCATGGTATAGAGCATTACCGTTTACCCCGCAGGCTGTATAACTCTCCACGAGAAACGACAGTAATAAAATACATGGATCCACAACTCTCACAGTAGGCCCTTTGTATCTATTATTGGCGTGGAGTGTTATATTTGATTCCACAGCCTTCCGAACACCCCTCCTATTCAGCCAATACCAATTACCCTGTCCAGGTATTATAAGTTTATCTCTAATTTAATAAAATACATTTCAGCCAAAATTAGGATCTATTTGGTTTCCGGGAATAGGGATAATGGCTCATTTCGTTTCTGATTTCAACCAAAAAAAGAAAATCATTTGGTTGGACAGAATTAAAATCCAATTCCCATTTTCCCTCTCTTGTGAATGAATCCAATCCCCTCCCTTGTGAATGAAACTGTTTTCGTTGATTTCGATTACAATACCCATTTTCATATAAGTAGAATCAAGGTTCAAAATTTCGATGATAGCTTCTTGAAAACTCAAATAAAGGGTATTTTCAAAATTTATCCACTTTAAATAAAATAAAAAAGTTACCAAGTATCCAAACATCCGATACACACCTCTCATACGTTATCTCCCCATCGATATACACACTACTAATAACCCCTCCTCCAAAATTGATGATTAGAGGAATTGAATCCACGTTTATGCTACATATAACCAGCAAATATATCGAGTCTGCGCCCCTCAGCTGCCGACCATTTCAATTCAGATTCCAGTGAGTTTTAGTTCCGATTCCAACCGGTTGAATGGCATTCCCCCGATCTGTAATCCGTATCTTTTCTTACTTTCTCATAACACCACTACCAGCTCAAAATGTCAATCTGGCATTCTTTTCCTCCCACAAACGGAAAGAGTAACTCAAGATAAATTGATGCAAGGAATCGTGTTTTCCTCCTTTTTTTTTTTTTTATTTCTTCCTTCAATTTTATCCCCCTTCACATATCAAAGAAATAAACACTATATACTAATTATATCAATGATTAAAAAAAGGAAGAAAAATAAGATCGGGAGACAGTATTCACATCTTACATTTGATCACAACAACCGCAACCCACATCACAAATATATACCCCCAAACAAATCTCCTCTTTTTTTCTGATCCCTTCAGATGGGATCAGTCGATCTTGAATCTAAAATTAAAAAAAAATATACCGAAAAAAAAAAGATGCATGATATGGCGTCTTTTTTAGGAGTTGTTTGGATGTTCATAGATCATCAGCACGAGAAGGGGACCAAGGAGTCATGTCCATGGGATAGCTTCCTAGAACCCGCAGGAACGACGTGAACTCTTGCACTTCGGCAAGCGCGTTCTGTGCCCTGACCTCCGCCATGGACGCCTCGAAATCGACGTAGAACATGTACTCAAAGTGCTTTGCCGTCCCTACATTCGCGTCGTCCACCAGTCTGATCGGCCGGTTCCGGTGTGGTCGGCTCTCGATCTTCGTCAGGCTTATGTTCCTGAACGCGAACGCCGACAACACCTTGAACAACGTGGACGTCCCCTTGTCGTGTGCGAACACTATGCTTGTCTTGAATGGCCGGTCCGTCCGTGGTATGATCGGCTCTCGGGCCAGCATCACGAACCGGGTCACGTTGCTCGAGTCGTCCTGTATTCCGTCCGCCAGTATCTGTAGCCCATACAGCTCCGCCGCCCTAGCGCTCGCAATCGCCGCCGTGTCCCGCAGGTTGTTTGCCGCCACGAATTCCGCCGCCCCGGCCGTGTCGTCAACCGCCTCGCGAGCAACGTTGAGGCCGAGTTTGGTCAGAGTCAATTCGCACTGAGCCAGGGCTTGCGGGTGACTAATGACCCGAGTCAGGTACTCCTTTCTCACTCCGGGCAAGGCGAGTAGGCAGTGGTGGACGGGGAGCTGAACTTCTCCCACGATGTGGAGGCGGTGACGGAGGAGTAAATCATAATTCCGGTGAATGCTACCTCCCAGCGAATTCTCTACGGGCAACACGGCCCGATCGGCGATCCAGAGCTCCACCGCTTGAAAGGCTACTTCGAACTGGTCACAAGGGATGGCTTCGCAGTTCGGGTAGGCTTTACCGGCAGCGGCCTCGCTGTAAGCACCGGGAACTCCCTGGTAAGCGACGCGAAGCTGGGAGCCGTGCATCGGAGCGGGAGAGAGATCGGTGATGGTCAAAGGCTTAGGGAGATTCTCGATGGGGACAAGATCTAGCGTTTTGTGACCATTAACGGCAGCTAAGTCAGCGTTGCCACTCTTCTCCGTCTCCTGTTTTTGGTTAACGACCTTGCTAGCAAGGATGGCGCAGGAACTCTGCCAATCGTGTCGGTTGGAGCCGACGCCGCCTGAGAAGTTGGACGAGTCGAGGCGGTGGATACATTGGACGACGACGCGCGCCGGCGAGGTCCGCTGGTGGTGGCTGAAGCCTTTGGACCTAAGCAAAGATTTAAGGGTGGTTGGATTTGGAGAAGGTGAGATTGCCTGCATCATTTGACAAGCTTTGGGGAGAAATCTCGACTGTGATGTGATGAAGTGGGATTCCGATGAAAATGAAAAAGGAAAAAAGAGGAAGAGAAGAAGGCTTGGTGTTCTCTGAGAAGGGAACGTCAAGCTGAGAGAAAAGAAGAGGGGTGAGAAGGGTTTATATATATTTGAGAAAGGAAAGGGCTAAAGGCTAAAGGGGGAGGAAGGAGGAAGGAGGAAGGAGGAAGAGAAGTGGGTTGGGTTGGGTCAATCTCACACACACCTACCCCCGCCCGCTCGCGTCTCGCCAACTCCCGAGTGTTTGGTTTTGTTTTTAATTTCTTTCTCCCTTGTTTTTTATTTTTTGTTTTATTCAAATATGGTGGGAAACTTGGAATGGGTAACTTTGTTAAGTCATTTGATACTCAATGGATGGTCGTCGCTGGGAAATGGGGGAGAAGGAGAAGTCCCTGTACTACCACACCGTGGGCCCTCAAATCTGAGTACCTTTTACCGCGTTTTATAAAGAGCTCCATCTCATAGAAAGACTGGTGCGGTCGAGTGGCAACTATTTAAAATTTATTAGAACATCCCCTTATAGTTTCATATATTTATTTAAACCTATCATCTATTTTCATTTTATTAAAACATCCCTTATAATACCTTCATTAAAAACTATTTATTTTGCCATGTGAAAATAGTAACATCATCACCTATAAATTAAGTGAAAAATGTTCAATGAAATGGAACCATGGTTGTTTATTCTAAAAGTATCTTAAGCTGTTCAAGGGTATGGATCTATGGTTGTTTATTCCAAAAGTATCCCTAACACTTTTTTGCATAGAAAAAAAAGTGGTTGCCTAAATTTTGTTAGGGGCAAAAATGGTATTTTTGTTTTTAATTTCTTTTGATTAAAGCTATTTGAATGGATGTTATGGTTAAAACTGTCATTTTCCACTTTCATCTAATAGAAGGTCAAATAAGTAAACTGATTTCAAATTATAGGAGATGTTTTAGTAAAACACAAACTATAGGGTAGGTTTTAATAAATTCATGAAATTTTAGGGGGTGCTTTTGTAAATGACAATAAAATATTCCAACTTAATTACTTAGATATTAAATAGGAGTGGTAATTTTCTTTTGACGAGGGGGTATATGGATAATTACACTGCATTACATCTATCAATCTATCTCTATTAGGCAAGGGTGTCAATGGTTTGGCGTCAAGTCAAAATATCAATTTGGATGGATTGGACAGACCAATAAGACATATTGGATCCAAAATATTTATTAGATTAGATTGGACTAAAATAAATTTAAATCAGATTTGGTTGGATTAAGCCAATATTGGTCTATTGATATAAGATAAGAATATAGGTGTCAATAGAGCGGCTTTRAGTTGAAACCAATCTAAATTAAAACAAATTGGACTGGTCCAAAATATTTATTAGATTGGATTGGACCTAGTCCATTTGTAATGGACTCACATTGGATTAGATTGGATTGGACAAAATCTAATCCAATTGGCACCCTTGCTATTAGGGATACTTGCCTTAGGTTAATTACATGTATGAAAAGTTAAATTCAAATACCATATCTCATATGTGCGTGATACTTGTTCCTACACTAGTTTTTATATACATACATAATTCTACTAAGTTCAACCATGATGCATTTACTGATATTTATTACATATTAAATCAAAATCTTAACCAATCCCATTAATGACATGACATGGCTTGTTTAATCCTCTTTGGTTCATATTTCATAAAGTGCACTCTTACGTTTAACAAGGTATACTCAACATCAAGACTTTAAAGGATCAACAATTCAGCTGTTAGCTAGGGGTGGAACTTGGTTTGGGTTGGAAATTTATCAATTTTCAATGGGCCCGAACCCTAACCCAAGCCCAATGTAGTTGAATTTCTTCATGCAGCCCTAACTATGCCATGTTGTGTTTTGTCACAGGTTCATGTCTTTTGCTACATAATGCAACTGATGCATGAGCAAGGATTAGCTTAACGCAATGACTGTTCAGCGGGTTGTGGAACCAATGATAAGGTTTCATGCCAGTGACTTGCACCTTTCACACTGGGGCCATAAATTTATTACCGGTATGAAAACCTCATTATTGGTTCCACAACCCGTTGAACAGCTATCACCTTCAGCTAATCCAAATTCTTGAATGCATTATAGATTTTGCCATTTAATTATTGTTCCAAAAGATTTTATTATTTATTTATTGAAAAATGATAGCATACAGCTTTAGTTGCATGTAGAAATTGCTAAAGCAGAAAAGTACAGACAGGCCCAATGCAGATTTTTGATTTCTATTGGAAAGCTATAAACATTCAAAATGTCAATAACCCACATTCTATGCACCAACACCCGCCCGTGAATTGGCATCAATTCCGAACTGGCACCTATCCCAACAGTACTTTGGGCCTACAAATTCTGACCCTGGGCTGAACCGTCATTCTCCCATTGCTAAAGATATGTTCCAACATATTGGCTTTTAATGGGTATGCTTGACTAGAAAAAAAAAAAAATCTTCTTGTACATGCCTTCCCCATTCATGTGAATTGAATTTGGATTTGCTCCACATACCAATCTTACAACACATTATAGCTGTGCATTGGGAACATTTTCCCATGAATCACAACATACAAATACAAAGATGTTCTTAAGGCTGCATTTGGAAACAATGCAAATGGAGTGTAAATCCTGTTTCAAGGTAAATTTGCACTCTGGTTCACTTTTGTCTGTGTTTGGCAACACTACATTTATGCATTGACAAATGACAGACTAATGCATATTTACATTGATAATAAGATGCAAAAGTACATCAATAAAATAGAAGTAAATCTGCATTCAAGTGGGGTTTTGATAAAAAAAAGTATATGCTTTATTGGAATTCATGTTTGCATCCATTACAGTTAAAAGTCTGTTTGATAAGAAAGTAAATTTGTCAGTGAAAAACTAACCCAAATTTGTAATTTATATGAACCGTTTTACACTCTACATATTTGCATTGTTTACAAACGCAACCTAATATGCAGCAAGTACTTTGAGGTTGGTGTGGTGATTGCTTTATGAGAACCAAAAATTCTATTTGTTTAGCCCATTTTTTTCCATTTTATCAAAAAAAGAAAGTCATTTTCTTGCATGGAAAAGAATTTTATGAAAGTCTTCAAAAGCTTACAAATAATAGTTTTATCACTTGAATATATAATATAAATTATATTTTTATGCATTTATTGTATTATATTTTTCTATCATATTATCATATTCTATTTTATATCATATGGAGAGATTATGTGAAATTCACATTCTGCGATTAGTAGCAAAATTGTGATAATATGGTTCAAAAACCTTAACTTAGTATATTGAGTGTACTTAAAGGAGAGACCAGACCACGTTTAAAAAGTAGTATTTTAGTCCCACAGCACCTCCCACCCGTGTATTGGAAACATTTAGTCATAATAAATACGAAGACATGCAAATATGGGAGATATTCTCAATGTACGGTGAGATGTGCGTGTGGAGTGTCATTGTGATCTCTAATTCAAATGACCATTAAACTATAAAAAAAAACAGCATTTTTAGTGTTTAAAGTTCATTCAACGCTACCAGGGCCATTTGTAAAGGCTAAAACATGAATGRAAGAAGACATTTTAGTTGTGGACTTTAATGAAGAAGAAAAATAAGTTTTGGCATTTAATGTGGATTCATTTTGTGGAGCGAGTATTTTTCATTTTTCTTTTTATTTTTTTAGGCAAAATGGGTTATAAATTAGGGGTAGAGGGTAGTATAACTCAGATTCGGATCAGTTAGCATCACATGGTCCCAACAATGTTCCAACCAACCATTGCAGGGAACATCTTCTCGTAGGAGATATTCTCAATGTGTGGTTGTAGTGATTGTTGAGAGCATTTTATTGATAGTGGATCCCTATCAACGTTACCTCTACCCCTTACCTCCACACCCAACCCAACCATGGTGAAGTGGGATTGGATCCAGCTTTACATTGATTTTAGGCTGTTTATTTTGTTCTTTTTCTAATGGCAATAAAATCAGAATCGGGTTAAATCTAAATCCCATCAGAGTCAAATATTTCAGATTTTAGATTGTATTCTCAATGATCGGAGAGGATTTGGATTCAGATGTAGCTGAATCCCCTCCGATCATGTCCCTCTGGATGCAGCTAGAGGTTGCTGCACACACACACTGCTACCAAAAGAACAGTAGAGCTGGGCTAAATATAAACAATTAAACATTTTCTATAATTGTATGTTGTGCACTAAAAGAGATATTCTAGTGCTTTGTTGATAGCAGATCCGAGCCCTCTATCAAGCCAATAAAACCAACATCAAGAACGGCATGGCTGGTCATATACAATTTATCCTATAACACAATATATACCATCCACTAAACAGTCATTTTCCTTCAAAGCTCAAGCCAAACCATATCTGGAAGTCATCAATTAGAGTTCGGCTTCAGTCCAGGGGCTGTTCATAAGAAGATCCAATCCAACCAAACTGATTAATCCGGACCAATTCAACCTGAGTCGGTTGGGTTTTTTTTTAACACTGGTCGGTTTCGGGTTATAAAAAATCATTAATCGATGATTCGTCGGTTTTCATATGTGAAAACTGAAATCGACCTAAATCTAACCAACTTAGTAGTTAGTTCCTAATTAGTAGTTACAACCTACTTAGTTCCTACTTAACTAAGTTGTCACTATCCTAGTTACAACCTACTAAACTAAGCTGTCTCTCAAAATCTGTTCCCTCCACAACTGGATCCATGGATGGGCTACAAAACATTAAGGAAATGTTGGTTTCCTTTGTGAATGTAGAGCCAGAAATGAACACTTGAACAACAACTAAGTCACCACTAAGTAGAGTCGAAACCGACCCAAACCGACTTCAATCGATCAGGTCGGTTTTGCTTAACACAGAGTCGGTTTTGGTTTCAATTTCAAGTAACCCGACCAGGTCGGGTCGGTTGGAAAAGCATCAGTAAACCAACCCAACCCGATCCGTGAACAGCCCTAATTCAGAGGATGTGCCACGCATCTTTCGAATCGTGTGAAAGGCTGAAAGCATGTGAGGATGCTTTACCTCATTAGTGAGATTTGCAGTTAGTTTCCTCTCCTCTCCTTTCCTGTCGCAGATAAGGCATCTCTCCTCCCTCTCTCTTCCCATCAGTTTAGCAACGACTTAACAATCATCATTATCGGCGACAAACAATCATCACTGGCAGCAGGATCAACCCAGGATCTATTACTCCGCCATGTCCATTCTTGTGG